CTCGCCAGCGATTTCACGGCACCCCCCACTGAAAGATTCCGTGGACTTCAAAGGAGTCCTAATGGCCGGCCAGTGGATTTTCCTTGGGAGGCATCGGTTCCCGCTGGGGCAGCCCGTCTGGCAGAACAAAAGTTCTTTGTTCCTTAGTCCCGTCTGGGGTGCCATAAATGTTGTGGAATGATGAGACCAAACAACATTCCTGGGTCAGCCAGAGACAGTTTTATTGCGCAAGGGTCAGAGCCAGTTTTGTACCTGAAGCTTTGAACAAAGAAAGAACTCTGATACAACGGTTTTTATACATTTCTAAGACAAAGGATTCAGTGAGATCATACATTTTCCATATATGGTTAACATGAGATCATACATCCGATTTTCCCTATATGGTTACAGACATTGGATAATATGTTCATCTAATTACTTAAACCATTAATTTTAGTTTATAAAATTATCTTAGCCACACAACTTTTCTTGAGTGCTTGTAGTTGTTAATGGGAGAGTTACTGCTGTCCTTGGGTAAATTTATTGGATTAAGTAACTCTTTGTAACATATAAGTCTTTGTCTCATTCATAGTGAGGTCACTCAGATGTTTTCCATATGGCGGTCCTTCCGTGACATCTAGGTTTCCTCAGAAGATATATTACCACTTAATGGGGTTTAACTGTTTGTTAATATAATGTCCAACAAGCACTTTCCTCTCTTATAATAATGTGAATAGAGAGGTTCTCTCAGAGTTCATGTATCTAAGCACGTCTTCCCCCTATAACAATGTGAATAGAGAGGGTCTTCCAGAGCCCATATATCTGACTCTGTATGATTCCTTTCTTTTATCCACATTATATTAACACATATAGTAGTATTCATTATACTTATTTACCAATTTATATTCATTTATATTTACATCTCTTTGTTTAATGTTGTTCAATTACTCCAATTTAAGTTTCATCAGTACTAAGTTAAACATTTCCTGTTTTGGTTTCTATTTTCGAGCCAACAGTACATTTTATTCCATACTTCATAATAATCCGAATCATTGCTGTCTTTTAGCTCCATAGTCATTTTATCCATTTCTGCGCATTCAAGAATTTTCCTCATTACTATTTCGTCTGAGGGTATATTATTTTGTTTCCAGTTTTGTGCGAATACGATTTTTGCTGCAGTGAGTATGTGTAGTGTAATGAATTGGAGTTTTTTATTCATTTTCAGGTCAGGTATTCCTAATAAAAATAGTCCTGGATTCAAATCAAAGTTTGCTCTGTAATTTTTTCCAGACATTTTTGAATTTTCGGATCCGGCAATATTGGCCAACTACCGTCCTGTCTCCAAACTTCGCTTCATGGCGAAGGTTGTTGAGATGTGGTCGCGTGACAGTTCCCACAATTCCTGGAGGAAACATCTTATCTAGATCCATTCCAGTCGGGTTTCAGGTCTGGGCACAGCACGGAAACGGCATTGGTCACATTGGTTGATGATCTCTGGAGGGCTCAGGACAGGGGTTCCTCCTCTGTTCTGGTCCTGTTAGATCTCTCAGCGGCTTTTGATACCATCGACCATGGTATCATGCTGCACTGGCTGGAAGAGTTGGGGGTGGGAGGCATCATGTTGCGGTGGTTCTCCTCCTTTCTCTCCGACCAGTCGCAGTTTGTGTTGGCAGGGGGGGCAGAGGTCGACCTCGAGACCTCTCAACTGTGGAGTGCTGCAGGGATTGGTCCTCTCGCCCCTTCTGTTCAACATTTATGTGAAGCCGCTGGGCGAGATCATCCGTGGCTTCGGGGTGAGATACCACCAGTACGCTGATGACACCCAGCTGTACATCTCCACCCCAGGCCACCCCAATGATGCCCTTGAAGTGATGTCCCAGTGCCTGGAGGCTGTGCGGATCTGGATGGGGAGGAACAGGCTCAGGGTCAACCCTTCCAAGACTGAGTGGCTGTGGCTCCCGGCATCCCGATATAGTCAGTTGACTCCATCACTGACTATTGGGGGCGAGTCTTTGGCCCCCACAGAAAGGGCTCGCAATCTGGGAGTCCTCTTGGATATGCAGCTGTCCTTGGAGGAACATCTGACAGCTGTAACCAGGGGGACCTTTTGTCAGGTTCGCCTGATTCGCCAGTTGCGGCCCTTTCGTGATCGGGATTCCCTGTGCACAGTCACTCATGCCCTTGTCACCTCTCACCTTGACTACTGCAATGTTCTCTACATGGGGCTCCCCTTGAAGAGCACCCGGAGGCTCCAACTGGTCCAGAATGCAGCAGCGCGGGTAGTGACGGGAGCAGCATGGCGCTCCCATGTAACACCGCTCCTGCGTGAGCTGCACTGGCTCCCAGTGGTCTTCCAGGTGCGCTTCAAGGTGTTGGTTATCACCTTTAAAGTGCTCCATGGAATCGGGCCTAGCTATCTTCGAGACCGCCTGCTGCTACCAACGACCTCCCATCGTCCCGTGCGCTCCCACAGAGAGGGCGTCCTCAGGGTGCCATCAGCCAATCAATGTAGGCTGGTGACCCCCAGGGGGAGGGCCTTCTCTGTGGGGGCACCTACCCTCTGGAATCAGTTGCCCCCAGAGATAAGGAGAATCCAAGACCTTAGTGCCTTCCGCCATGCCCTTAAAACCCACTTTTTCCAGCAAGCCGGGCTGGCTTAAGAAGAAATTTTAAATGTTTTAATTGGTTTGTATTTTTAATTTTGGGCCAAATTTATATATATTTTAATTATTTTTTAATATTTGTATTCTATGTTTTTTAATTCTGGCTGTACACCGCCCTGAGTCCTCAGGGAGAAGGGCGGTATATAAATTTAAAAAAAAAAAAATTGCACCAATATTTCCTTGTGATGGGGCACGTCCACCACATGTGATTTTAACGATTATTATGCCACTGAAATCAAGACATTTTTCTTGCGGGTACGGTTGGACAGACACCTGGAAAAGATTTACAAGTGATTGGTTTTTGTGCCCAGCAACTGCAGTGAGATTTTTATTTATTTATTTGTAAAAATTTATAAGCTCATATCTTACCCTGCAATAACTGACCAACTTTACAATATTATATTATTGTACTTGTAATGTAAGATTATTAGGTGAATAATAATAATAATAATAATAATAATAATAATAATAATAATAATAAAAAGGCTCTGAAACACCCAGAAGGAAGGAATGGTTGTTAAAGATAACACAATTTGTAGAGGGGGCAAAAATTGACCTATTTGATTAAGGAAAACGCAGAAACTAATGTATATTTATTAGTGAGTGGAAACCCTTTAGTTTATGGACTTTTTGCTGAAAACCAGGGGGGGAAATGAACTTGATGTGTTTGATGCTTACAAAGGGTAGAATATGGAAAGAAATCAGCCATGTAACATGTCCTCGATTTATGACCACAATCAAGCCCAAAACTTCCATTATTAAGGGAGACAGTTGTTACATGACTTTGGTTCCATTTTATGACCTTTCTCGCCACAGTTGTTACGGAAATCACCTTAGTTGTTAAATTAGTAACACGGTGGTTAAGTGAATCTGACTTCCCTGTTGACTTTGTCAGAAGGTCGCAAAAGGTGATCACATGACCCCCGGACATTGCAACCGTCATAAATAACATGCCAGTTGCCAAGTGTCTGAATTTTAATCACGTGACCATGGGGATACCACAAGGGTCATAAAAAGTGTGATAAATGGTCATAAATCACTTTCCCCCCCCAGAGCCGCTATAATTTTGACCGCTCACGAAATGAACGGTTGTAAGTCAAGGACTAGCTTTGTACTCTGCGATAGGAATAAATGAGATTGAATTTCCTGAGCCTGAAGAATTTCAGAAAGCTCAAACTGCCCAAGGAGCTGCTGATAACAGTTCTCAGAGGAATTATTGAATCTATCATCTGCACCTCCGTAACTGTCTAGTTTGGCTCTGCAACCCAACAAGAGAGACATGGACTTCAGAGGATAATTAGTACTGCCGAAAAAACAATTGCTACCAACCTGCCTTCCATTGAGGACCTGTATACTGCACGAGTCAAAAAGAGGGCTGTGAAAACATCTACATACCCCTCACATCCTGGACATCAATTGTTTCAACTTCTACCCTCAGAACGACGTTGTGGAACATTGCACACCAGAACAACTATAGACCAAAGAACGGTTTTTACCCCCATGCCATCACTCTGCTAAACAACTAATTCCCACAACACTGTCAAACTATTGACTGAGACTGTATTACTATTATTATTCTCATCCTTCCTATTACCTATCTCCTCCTGAGACAGGAGGGTCTTATACTATAAATCATATTAATCTATGTATTGTATTATTCACAGTATTATGTTGCTCTCAAAAGTGTTGACGTGGGAGTAGAAGTTATGTTGCAAACCTCAGGAAAGTACAAGGAACAGAAATAAGGAACTTGTTAAATGTACTGATGAGCTTAATGATCTATGTTCTATATCCTCCCTGTAACGAATTTATATTAAGAAACATATTACCAGAAGTGTTCATGGAAAGTAACAGACGGTGTACCCATATATGGAAATAGAGGCGTAACGCCTCTGGCGTGGCTAGAATTGCAAAACGTATAAAAGGTACACCTTGGGCGCCCAGGGTTCGGAATCTGACATGTGAATGCTCCGAACCTTTGCTAGCAAATAAACCTGTGTTCTCCAACTTTTGTGGTCTTGTCTCTTGCATTTGGGAAAGTGGGTTTTCCTGCTTTACTCCTACTTACGACTATAACCTTGTTGCTTGTATCTTTACGATTATATTGTTTTATTTAATTTCCTAGTATGATTTTGATTGCTTATTAGTAACATTAAGTGTTGTACCTTATGTTTCTTGATGAATGTATTTTTTATGTACACAGAGCTTATGCACCAAAGACAAATTCCTTGTGTGTCCAATCATACTTGGCCAATAAAGAATTCTGTTCTATTCTACTCTAGCAGACAAGATACTGTCTCAAACAATCCTCCTTTTTGATTAATTCATGTTTTCTGTGCAATTTTTGTGTCTCCAAAGAGCCTAATTTTCTGAGAGTGACTGCATTAGAAGAGTGAAAACTAGTCACCAATTGCTTCTACCATGTTCGCCAACATATGTCTGAGAAAGCAGAAATTAGCAGTGACCGTTTTCTTATTTATCGGCGGCATTATTCTACTACGGGAGAAATTCAAACCGTGAGTACTGTATATGAGTTTGTATTTCTTTCAGCAAACTGGATAGGAAGCCACAATTTTTTTAAAAAAAGTAGACATTTTCAGTGTACGTACAATACAGATAGTCCTTGACTTACAACAGTTCATTTAGTGACCGTTCAAAGTTACAACGAGACTGAAAAATGTCACAAGACTGTTTTTCACACTTACGACAGGAGCCCTGTGGTAACAGGATCAAAATTCTGCCACTTAGCAGCTGACTCATACTTATGACGGTTGCAGTGTCCGAGGATCCTGTGATCCTCTTTTGTGACCTTCTGACAAGCAAAGTCCATGGGGAAGCCAACTTCACTTAACGACGGTGTTACTAACTTAATAGTTGCAGCGATTCACTTAACAACTGGGGCAAGAAAGGCCGTGAAAGGCTGCTAAATTCACTTAACAAATGTCTCACTTACCAACAGAAGTCTTGGGCCCAATCGTGGTCATGCGTTGAGGTCATGCGATTCCCCCCCTTTTGTGACTTTGCGACAAGCAACGTCAATGGGGGAAGCCAGATTCGCTTAACAACCGTGTTACTAAGTTAACGGCTGCCAGATTCACTTCACATAGGTGGCAAGGAAGGTCGTAAAACGGGGCAAAGCTCGCTTAGCAATTGTTTCGTTTAGCGGTGGAAATTTGAGGCTCAGTTATGGTCGCAAGCAGTGGTGGGATCCTGCCAGTTTAACAACTGGTTCGGTGATCGCGCGCTTCGGTGTGTGTGCATGTGCAGTTTTATGAAAACTTACCTTCCGTGTTACTGCTGGGAAGTAACACAGCTGAGGCGCTGCGCGAATCAGCTGACAAGATATAGGTCAGTAAAGCGCAGGGGCAGGTGGGCAGCCCCACCTGATCGTCAGAGTAAGCCGGTTCGCTCCCAGCTGATCGTAGGAGCTACCGGTTCACGCGAACCGGTCTGTACCGGTAGAATCCTACCTCTTATCGTAAATCCAAGGACTAGCTGTATTAATATAAGAGTTAAGGTTGTGTTATTTGAGGTGTGGTATATATCAGATTCTCCATCCGAGAATAGTTTGAAGGGTCTGAGGCAAATTTTTCCCCATCTGAGGAGCTGTCCTTGGTTAAATCCAAAAAGGCATCTACTTTCAGAGGCCTCCTTATTTATCGATTAAATCCATTCTTAAAACTTGATGTGTTGTTTAAACGATCAGAAAGACAAGGGCAAGAAATGAGGGGTGGATTCTACAGTTCAATTCAATTCAGTTAACCTCCCCCTCCCCCTTTCCTCTATCCTTTCCAGAAAAGAGGTCCGGTTAGACAAAAAAATTACATGCCAGAAAGTAAATCAGGATTTTAAAACACTGGCTTTCTTAAGAAGGTGAGTTTGGTAGGTGAGGGTTTTCCAGCCAAAATGACTGAATTGCCTAAAGTTATTTGTTTGCTTGCTTTATCATTTATTTATTGGACTGATATAGCCGCCTATCCCAAACCTGGCTGGCGAATTCTGGGAGTTGAAGTCTACCCAGATCTGAAACAACCCTGTTTTAAGAGTCTTAATTAAAATGGAGTGGTCCCCCATTCAAATTAAGTTTCATACATAGAAATTATTTCAATTATTTCAAAATTATTTATTGGAGTGTAGTTGGTGATACGTGGAAACTTTCAATTCATTTTCAAGAGTTCTCAGTGATGTTATATATTAGTTTGACCCTTAACTGAATAAATATATAAATCTAATATATAGGTTTAGTTGCTGTATCTGATTCTGGCCCAGTTACAGATAAATATCACCATGTTTCTTCAAGATGGTATTAAGTGCAGTATTACCTTATTGTTATTAAACAGATACAACATTAGTTTCATTTCATTTTTTCCTCTACATATTCATTAAATTCCATCAGCAGTGGTTGTTTAGGATGCCTTAAAGTCATGGCTATATTACCACTTATTCTTCATGGAAAATATTTAAAAATAAAATAAGGAAAATTTTTGGGAAAAGTTAAGGAATTTAACTGTGTGTTTCTCTCTCTCTCTCTCTCTCTCTCTTTTTGATTCTTTTTTATTTTTAAACAAAACATAAAACATAAATCCATCATCCATTACAATTGCAAACAGTGTGTCGGTCGGTTACAAATCTTTTGTGCTTCATCTCTATATTCAGAATTTACTAATTATCTAATTTCTCACATTGTCAAACAAATAAACATCCTCATTTATCATTTATTTAACTATGGCTTTACGGCTTCAAAAAAATTATTTTCAAATATTAGATTTATAACATTCATTTCATATTTCATATTTCATTTCCATGCTTTCTTATCTAGCCATTGATAAAATAAATCCCATATCTTATAATATTTTTTATCTTCTTGTTCTCAATTTCAAATGTCAATTTACTCATTTCAGCACATTCCAGGATTTTCTTAATAACTTCATCTTGTGTTGGTATTTTCTCATTTTTCCAGTTTTTAGCAAACACAATTCTAGCTGCTGTTAAAACATTCACAATCAAATATCTCAATTCTCTATTGTATATTTCTGGCACAATCCCTAATAAAAAAATATCTGGCTTAAAGTCTATATATTGTTTTATCATTTTTTCCAACCATGTGTGGATTATAGTCCAGTATCTTTTAGCTTCTACACATGTCCACCACATATGGTAATATGAGCCCAGTGTCTGATGACATTTCCAGCACTTTTCAGATTTATTCTTGAACATTCTGGCTATTCTCGTCGGGGGTAGATGCCACCTGTAAAATATCTTATACAAATTTTCCTTATATGTTGTTGACATTGTCATTTTATAATTTTGCAACCACAATTTTTGCCATTTCTCTAAATCAATTCCATAACCAACATTTTCCCCCCATGCAATCATTGTTTCTTTAACTTGTTCTCCTTCCAACTTTACCTCTAATAAATAACCATACAATTTTTTAATTACGTAGTCATCAGAACCTATTAAAATTTTATCTAAGTTAGACAAATTATTATAAAAACCCTCTGTCTTACAATCTTTATCATATCTAGAATGTATTTGCATATAAGAAAACCAATTTATCTGTAAACCTTGTTCCTCTAATTCTTGTTTTGATTTGAGTTCACCCTTTTCATTCAATAGTTCACTATATTTAACAATTTGTTCCCTTCTAAATATTATTGAGTATGAAAATGCTTCAATCGTCGATAACCAGACTGGAATTTTTAAATAGTGTTGTTTTTTAATCTTCTCCCAATTTAGTAACAAAGCCTCACATATATAATGTCTTCTAAAGTACCCCTGTGTTTTTGTTTCCTTGTACCATAAAAAAGCATGCCATCCCCACAACAAGTCATGTCCTTCTAAAGTCAATAATGTTTCTTAACATTATCCATTCTTTAATCCACATCAAACTTGTCGCTTGATAATAAAGTTTCCAATTAGGCAAACCAAAACCTCCTCTTATTCTAGCATCTTGCAACAATTTCAATTTTATCCTCGCCTTTTTACCCTGCCAAATATATTTTAACATTATTTTATTCAAATCTTCAAAATAGTCTTTTCCCAATCTAATTCTATATTTGTAGAATATAGAATTCTAGGTAGTATATTCATTTTAATTGTCAATATTCTCCCAATCAATGATAATTGTAAATTTTCCCATTTTGTCAAATCTGTCCCAATCTGTCGTTTGAGTTTATTATAATTGTTCTCTTTAAGTGTGCTGCATCTTTCTGTCAAATATATCCTCAAGTATATAACCTTATTTGTGACCTGCATCTTTGATATTTCTGCCAATTCTTCTTTTTATTAACATATTTTTTTTCAAGATCTTCGTTTTATCTTTATTAATTTTCAAACCTGCTACTTTCCCAAATTCTCCTATTTTATCTATCAATGTAATTATTGACTCTAAAGGATCTTCAAGAAGAAACACCAGGTTATCTGCAAACGCTTGCAATTTATATTCTTCCTTTTGAATTTTCATTCCTTTTATATCTTTTTCTTCTCTGATATTTCTATTTAGCACTTCTAATGTTAATACAAACAACAGAGGAGACAGTGGGCAAACCTTGTCTCGTTCCTTTTTTTATCTCGATAAACTCTGTCAATTCTCCATTTATCATTACTTTTGCTGTTTGTTTATAGTATATGGCTTCTATTGCTTGAATAAATTTTCTGCCAAAGCCCATCTGCTCCAATTGAAGTAACATAAATCGCCAGTTGACATTATCAAAGGCTTTCTGAGCATCTAGAAATATCAAAGAAATATCATTTGCTTTTCAGGATGTGCCTCATAATATTCCAAAGTGTCCAGAATTATCCTCATATTGTCTTTAATCTGTCTTTTTGGCAGAAACCCGTTTTGATCAGAATGTATAAAATTATTTAAATAATTTTTAAGTCTTTCTGCCAATATTGAAGCAAAAATTTTATAATCAGAATTTAGCAGGGAAATAGGCCTATCATTTTTTATTTGTTGTGGGTCTGTGTCCTCTTTTGGAACAAGTGTAATATATGCTTCTGACCATGACTTGGGTATTTTCCTCTTTAACATAACTTCATTCATAACTTCTAGCAATGGGAGACTCACTGATTCCTGTAATGTCTTATAATATTCCGCTGACAGTCCACCCGGACCTGGTGCCTTCCCAATCTTTTGTTTTTTAAGTGCTTCAGTTAATTCCATCATTGTTATATTTCCTTCTAACATCATTTCAACGTCTTTAGAAATCTGAGGTAAATTCGCCTTTTACAAGTATTGTTTAATATTTTCCTCCTCTATATTTTCTTGTTCATACAGTTTTCTATAGTAAGCTTGTATAATTTCTTTCTTCTCTTTATTCCCAAATCTAATTTGTCCTTGGTCATCCATTAGTTGTGTTATTTTTCTTGATTCTCTCTCTTTTTTCAGTTTGTATGCTAACCATCTACCTGGTTTGTTGGCATCTTCAAAATAGTTTTGTTTAACACTTCTGATTTTTTGTGCTAAATCTTCCTTTTCTATTAATCCCATTTTATGCTTAGTTGTATCCATTTTTATTTTAATATCCTTTTGTGGAAATTTCTGAAGCTCCTTTTCGAGTTTCTTGTAATCATCTCTAGTGTTATATAGACTTGTCTTTTCTTAATATTTCTTTTCCTTGTATAGTCTATTATCAGACCTCTAGTATAAGCTTTCATTGTATCCCAAAGATTTTGCATCGATGTGTCCTCTTTTCTGTTTTCTTTAAAAAAGAAAGCCAATTCTTTCTCCATTTTCTGTACAAAGTCCTTTTCTTTTAATATTGTATTATTTAGAGTCCATCTAGATCTTATCCTTTGTCCTTTCCATCTCACAGTCACTGGATTGTGATCTGCCCAGGTATTTGCTTCTATTTCAATTTCTTCTATATTAGAAGTCAGTTCCATTGTCGTCCATATCATGTCTAATCTAGACCATGATGAATGTCTGTCAGAATAAAAAGTATATTGCCTATTTTTTGCATTTCTTTCTCTCCATGCATCTTTTAAATTTGTTTCCTCTATCATTTTAAAAAAGGATTTCGGAAGTATCTTTCTACTATGCTTTACTGCCTTGTGTGTATTGTAATCTAATTTCTCATCTACTATACCATTAAAATCCCCCATCATACAAATATTGTCATAGTCCAATTCAATTATTTTCTTATGTAGCTTTCTATAGAAGTCGCCTTGATTGTTATTTGGAGCATATATTGCTATTAAGAGTATTTTCATGTTATTATCTGTTATTTCCACCATCAAAATTCTTCCTTCATCATCTGCGTATATTTGCTCTGCTGGAATTATGTTTCTAATGTATAAGACAACTCCCCTTTTCTTACATTGTGGCAATGAGGCAAAAAATTTTCCCTAATTTTGGCTGTACCAGTAACTGTTTGTGTTGCTTTTTAATGTGCACTTCTTGCAAGTAGATTATATCAAACTTTAATTTCTCTAATTTATGGAATACTTTTCTTCTTTTAATGGCTAAATAAAGTCCATTTATATTTATTGTAATCAATTTTTTCTCTTCCATAAGAGGGGTTTATTGCCCTAGTAGATCTCGGTTCCCGTTGCTCTTTGTGTTCCACAATACCCCCTACTGCTTCTGCTTTTTCAATCATTGCTATGTCTTCTTCTTGGATTTGGATCAGTGGTTCTGCCGTTCTAGTTTCCATTTCTTTCTCTCTGAGAAATTCTGCATAAAATGCTTTAGCTTTATCCACTAAATCTATTCTATATCTTTGCTGTTGCCACGTAAGCACTAATCCTTCTGTTATTAGCCATCTGTAATTCACAACTTTTTGAAGTAGTATTTTAGTCAGGAATTGACTAAATTCTCTCACTCTTCTCGGTATTTGCTTCAGAACCACAATTTCTTTCTCTTTGTACTTCAGCGTTTTTTCTCTTGCAATCTGCAATATTTGTGCTTTAATCGATTTCTTGGTAAACTTTATATGGACTTCTCGTGGTAATTTATTTCTCATTGCATACCTTGTGTAGACTCGAAATATCTCATCTATGCCATCCATCAGATTTTCTTTGGTAATTTCTAATGCTTCTGCTAAAATTTCTATCATTATTTCTGCCAAGTTCTCTCCCTTTTCTTCTATATTTTGAAATCTGAGATAAAATTCTGCTTTGTCCATCTCCCATCCGACTAATCCACTCTTATTCTTGCTCAACTTCATCGAGTCTAGTGTTAATGTCTCTAATTTTTTTCTCTCTTTGCTCTTCCTTTTCCTCAATCTTTTGGAGTCTATCTTCATATTTCATCATCATTTGCTGTATGTTCTCCACTTTCTCATCTGTTTTCTCTGTTCTTTTTTCAATCTTCTCTACTCTTGTTTGTATATTTTGAACTCCTTGTAGAATCATCTGTAGTGTCGTCTCCTTTTCTTTCTCTCTTTCCTTCTCCTTCTCCTGTTGTAGCATCGTCTGTATTGACTGCTGTCCTCCAGATGGTGATGAAGAAGGCATTGATGTGGAAGAGCCAATAACCGTTACTTTTTTACTCATTCTGTGAAGTAGTTGCAAAAGGTTTTAACAAATAAAAAATTCTTCAGGCTCTTCTATACCTTAATCCGTTTATGGATGGAGCAAATATTACCCCAAATAACAAACACTGAGGAACAATAATAATGAATGGTGGAGAACATACAATTTGTTCAACCTTGCATTCTGGAATGGTTTGGTAAATATTCAGGTTAGAGTACACAATTAAGTCCCATAATTTATTTACATATTATTTAATTAAAGTTGTAGGCCACCCATCTCATTATCAAGGGACTGGGTGGCTTCCAGTTTTCTTGTAGATCAGGGGAAGAGGTCAAAAAAGTCAAGATGGTGTCTGAGACCCTCTGATCAAATCAATGAACGTCTGTTCTGGCACCATGTTTGTCTCTCCTCATTTCATCCAAGCATGATGAGCAAAAGATACAGTGGTACCTCAGTGCTCATTGTTAATTGGTTCCAGGAGGCGCCATAAGTACCAAAAATGATGAGTATCAATTTTTTTCCACAAGGAATAATCTAGTGCAGGGGTGTCAAATTCAGTTTCATTGAGGGCCGTTTCAGGGTTGTGTTTGACCTCAGGTGGCCAGAGTGTGTGTGGCCAGGGTGGGCGTGGCCAGCTCGACATCACTCATGTCAAGGGTGCCTGTGGTGGCCTGAGCGCTCTGCCAGAGAAAATGGGCTCCCGAGTTCCGTTTTCGGCTGTGACGGCCTCCTGCAACCCTCTGCCAATAAAAACAGCTCGGGAGGGCCGCACACTCCATTTTTGCTGGCAGAGGCACTGCAGGCCAGTCCTTTGCTGTTTCTGGGGCAGCCCCGCAGGCCAGATCTAAGCACCCCGCAGGTCGAATCTGGCCCCAGGCCTTGAGTTTGACACCCCTGATCTAGTGAGTCACAAAGCAGCCAACACCAACAAGTTCTAGCTTGTGTGTTGAGTACCATCAGAGGTGGGTTTCAGCAGGTTCTGACCAGTTCTGGAGAACTGGTAGCAGAAATTTTGAGTAGTTCAGAGAACCGGTAAATGCCACTTCTGACGGGCTCTGCCCCCATCTATTCTCTGCCTCCCGAGTCCCAGCTGATCGGGAGGAAATGGGGATTTTGCAGTAACCTTCCCCTGGATTGGGGAGGAAATGAAGATTTTACAGTATCCTTTCCATGGAGTGGGGTGGGAATGGAGATTTTACAGTATCCTTCCCTTGCCATGCCCACCAAGCCATGCCACGCCCACCAAGCCACACACATAGAACCGGTAATAAAAAAATTTGAAACCCACCACTGAGTACCAAATAAATGATTTTCACATCCAAATGTTGCTAAGAAGCAAATTTGATGAGTTTCAAAGCAGTTGAGCATCAGGGTAGTACTGTACCTCATTTCTCCTCATAACAAAATTAAATAGTTTATCAGCAGTTTCATTCCTATCCCTTTGCAGCTTCTATAGTATAATCCCAACAAAAGAGGGTGACCAGACAATGGAATGAACTTTGATGTGGGACTGGACCATTCCAAACTCAATTGCAGAAAATATGACTTCAGCAACAGAGTGGTCAATGCCTGGAATGCACTACCTGACTCTGTGGTTTCTTCCCCAACCCCCCCAAAGCTTTAACCTTAAACTGTCTACTGTTGACCTCACCCCATTCCTAAGAGATCTGTAAGGGGCGTGCATAAGTGCACCAGCGTGCCTACCGTCCCTGTCCTAATATTCCTTTTTACTTACTCTTTTCATGTATTCCAATTATGTTTATACTTTTACCTGTTATCTTATATATGCTTGACAAATAATCTTATGATTATGATTATATGATTATGATTATGGAAGAAAGTCTGAAAAAATGAGCTCTTTCCTTCTCCAGTGAAGTCAAGGCTATGCTTATGTGATAATAGCAATAGCATTTAGACTTATATACCGTTTTACAGTGCTTTGACAGCCCTCCCTAAGTGGTTTACAGAGTCAGCATATTGCCCCCAACAATCTGGGTCCTCATTTTACCCACCTCGGAAGGACGGAAGACTGAGTCAATCTTGAGCCTGGTGAGATTCGAACTGTCAAATTGCAGGCAGTCGGCAGGCAGCAGAAGTAGCCTGCTGTACTGCACTCTTAACCACTACGCCGCTGTGGCTGTTTAGCTGAACGGTGTAGAATAAATTATATGGTCTAAGAAGGAGGGAAAGCTGAGTCAGCCTTGAGGTAGTCAGGACTGAACTTCTGGCAGTGGGCAGAGTTAACCTGCAATGCTGTATTCTATCCACTATACCACCATGGTTCTTAAGACAAACGGCGTAGAATAAATTGTATGTTCTACACCAAATCTTGATAAGATGAGATCAGTTCCTTCCCTTGACATACAAGTAGTCCTTGACTTACAACCATTCATTGAATGATTGTCGGAAGTTACAATGGCACTGAAAAAGTGACTCACACAGCTATTTTTCACACTTACGACCATTGCAGCATCCCCATGATCACTTGATTTACATCCAGATGCTTGACAGCTGGTTCAGATTTATGACGGTTGCAGTGTCCCGTGATCATGTGACTACCTTTTGCAACCTCCTGACAAGCAAAAGTCAAGAGAAGCCTGATTCACTTAACAACAGTGTTACAGATTTAATCACGGCGGGGATTCGCTTAACAAACGTGGCAAGAAAAATCGTAAAACGGGACCAAACTCACTTAACAAATTTCTCCCTTAGCCACGTAAACGCTGGGCTCAATTGTGATCATAGGTCAAGGAGTCCCTGTATTTTAACATCAATATTTCCCTTCCTCGTATTTCGTATGAGACTAAGAAACTTGAGGGAACTGATTAGATTTGAGATTTGAAGATCGGGTTTGGAGACGCTGGATCCCAAATGCATTGCCGTGCTGGCTGGTCTGGGAAGGGAGGTTCCATTGGAAAGTTCCCGGGAGTAAACATTTTCTTCTCTTTGTTTTGATGATAGGACTGAAGGTCAGAAACCATTATTTAAGAACGGAAAATTCTCCAAGGACAAGGTTCTAAAGTGGCAGCGGATGCTTATTCAGTCATGTCCTTGGAAACCCAATGCTACAGCGATTATGCAATATAGGTAATAATGCTAATGGTCCCTCCAAATCATCAGTTCGAAAAGGAATTGGGTTGCCTGCCTGTCAAACCTGATGCAAACTTAAGCCTCTAAATAGAAAACGATGCTTGGTTCCATTTCCTGAGAAAGGTATATTTTTATTAGAGATCCAAGTCAGAGGTGGTATGCAGCCGGTTCTGGAAAACCGGTAGCGGAAATTTTGAGTAGTTCGGAGAATCGGCAAATATCACCTCTGATTGGCCCCACCCCCATCTATTCGCTGCCTCCCGGCTGGGTCTTCTTTTCTTCACCCTGCACACGGAGCCGGAAAGCAGGTTAGTCCCCTGGAGTGGGGTGGGAATGGAGATTTTACAGTATCCTTCCCCTAGAATGGGGTGGGAATGGAGATTTTACAGTATCCTTCGCCTGGAGTGTGGTGGGAATGGAGATTTTACAGTATCCTTCCCCTGGAGTGGGGTGGAAATGGAGATTTTACAGTAACCTTCCCCTTGGAGTGGAGTGGGAATGGAGATTTTACATTATCCTTCCCCTGGAGTGGGGTGGAAATGGAGATTTTGCAGTATCTTTCCCCTGCCACGCCCACCAAGCCAAGCCACGCCCACCAAGTCACACCCACAGAACCACTAGTAAAAGAATTTGAATCCCATCACTGGATCAAGTGTATTGCAGTAATGTATAGCTAGAACTGAGATTTGCCCATCAAAATTCCTGTGTTATTCCCCTCCTCTCCTCTCCTTAATTGTCTTTCATTTCCCAAGATAACCAATTAAAATCATGCAAGCTGTTTTCCTAACGGTCAGTTCAAGTGTACTCTGGTATGCCGCTCCGTCCTTCTCCCAGCTGGGTGACCTTGAAGCAGCTTCTCGAGAAAGCACAGCAGCTACTTTTGGTTTCCCAAGCATTTTCCCTTTCGTCCCCCTTCTCCATAGTTTATGGCAGATTGTCACCGCAGATCAGCAAAGCACAAGCAAGCTTGAGGTGGCAGCAAACTGCCCTTCAATTACTTTAATCTGATCTATTCTATTCTATTCTATTCTATTCTATTCTATTCTATTCTATTCTATTCTACTCTACTCTACTCTACTCTACTCTACTCTACTCCCTTTCTTATTCTATTATACTGTACTCTATTCCCTTTCCTATTCTACTCTATTCTACTCCCTTTCCTATTCTATTATACTCTACTCTACTTCTTGTCCTACTCTACTCTATTCCCTTTCCTATTCTATTCTACTTTACTCTACTTTACTCTGCTCTACTCTATTCCCTTTTGTATTCTATTCTACTCTACTATTCCCTTTCATACTCTACTCTATTCCCTTCCTATTCTACTCTACTCTATTCTACTCCCTTTCCCTATTCTATTCTATTCTATTCTATTCTATTCTATTCTATTCTATTCTATTCTATTCTATTCTACTCTACTCTACTCTATTTCCTTTCGTATTCTATTCTATTCTACTCTACTCCCTTTCCTACTCTACTGTACTCTCTCTATTCCCTTTCCTATTCTATTATACTCTACTCCTGTTCTGTTCTGTTCTGTTGTTCTGTTCTGCTCTGCTCTACTCTACTCTACTCCACTCCACTCCACTCCACTCCACTCCACTCCACTCCACCCCACCCCACCCAACTCTACTCTATTCCCTATCCTATCCTATCCTATCCTATCCTATCCTATCCTATCCTATCCTATCCTATCCTATCCTATCCTACTCTACTCTACTCTACTCTACTCCTCTACTCTACTCTACTCTACTCTACTCTACTCTACTCTACTCTACTCTACTCAGAGGTGGGTTTCAGCAGGTTCTGACCAGTTCTGGAGAACCGGTAGTGGAAATTTTGAATAGTTTGGAGAATCGGTAGTAAAAATTCTGACTGGCCCTGCCCCCATCTATTCTCTGCCTCCCAAGTCCCAGCTGAATCGGGAGGAAATGGGGAGTTTGCAGTAACCTTCCCCTGGAGTGGGGTGGGAATGGAGATTTTACAGTATCCTTTCCCTGCCATGCCCACCAAGCCATGCCATGCCATGCCCACCAAGCCATGCCACACCCACAGAACCGGTAGTAAAAAAATTTGAAACCCACCACTGACTCGACTCGACTCTACTCGACTCGACTCTACCCTACCCTACCCTACCCCCTTTCCTACTCTACTCTACTCTACTCTACTCTACTCTACTCTACTCTACTCTACTCTACTCTACTCTATTCCACTCTATTCCTATTCCTATGTTGATGCAATTTAGAATTGCATTGGCTTTTTTTGGGCTATTTTAGGTAGATAGTTTGACGGAGTTGGAAAGGATCTTGTAGGTCATCTAGTCCAACCCCCACCCACCCAAGCAGAAGACCCCTACACCATTTCTGACAGATGGTAGTCCAGTTTCTTGAAAGCCTCCAGGGATGATGCTCCCACACAGTGCCTCACGGTGATCCCTTTTCAAGTTAACCCCCGCTGATGCCTTCTTTCAGGGAAGAGCTAGGTCAGTGTTGCAATGCTTCTCATCTGCTGGTGGTAACCAAGGAAAACACACCACTGCGATCCATCATCAATTTCGATGGTGACAAATATAAAAATATCACTGTGGACGCCACCATGAGAAATGTTCTATTGAAGGTAAGAGAAAGATGCATTCTTTGGGTTTTGGTGGAAGAGAAACCCATGGGGGCGGCAGGGGGGTGTTAACAGAATACAAGTAGTCCTCAACTTACAGCCTGTTCTGTCCCCGTCTCACACACGCACACAAACAGTCAGCCAGGAGTTAAAGTAAACTTGCAGACAATAATTTCCTTCGATAACAGAATTGGCAGCAACCCAGTAGCTGCTTGCCAAAAACTTTACTCACAGAGGGAGGTGTTCCTCCTCCGTCAGATAAACCAAAATAAATTCACAAAGCCAAAGAATTGTCAAGTCCAGTCCTTAATAAATCCAAGGAAGGCAGATAACGAAGCTCCAGAGACACGGTATGACTTGCTAGCTGTTCAGTTTTGTCCGTCACAAAGCCTGAATGGCCACCACACCCCCTTTTATCCCCTGTGGGATGTGGTCCAGTGACTCAGCTTAATCTCTGGCACGCCTCCTTCTCTGCTGCGTGCGCTTGTCTTTCCGACGCTGGCGGGGATCCAGCCAAGACTTATCTCCGTCGCTGTCTGACTGCGGCTGCTCACAGATGCCTGGCTCCTGGCCTATCTCTTCTCCTTCGGGAGACACCTGAGACATTGCCAGAGAGGAGGGTCCTGGAGAGGGAGGCCTTGCCAACTCCTCTCCTTCACTTTCGGAGTCTTCTCCCTCCGATAAGACGGGCTCGGGGGTCGGAGTCACAACACAGCCTCCAGAGCCTGGGGAGGGCAACGACAACCCCCCCCCCCCCAGTGATGCAGGAGCAGGGGTGAAATGCTCCTGGTTCGGTCCGGTAGCAATGGGGGCGGGTGGGTCGGAGAACCGGGAACAAAAAACCCCGCCCCCCCCCCCCATTCCCCAGCTGAGCCGCGCAATCATCAGAGGCTTTTTAAAAAAAAAAAATTTAAAGCAATTTTTCTACAACCTCTTTGGCTGAAAAAATGCTTTTAAAAGTAAAATAAAAAGCCTCTGATGATCGCACAGCTCAGCTGGGATCATCAGAGGCTTTTAAAAGCATTTTTTCTACAACCTCTTCGGCCGAGGAGGTTATAGAAAAAATGTTTTTAAAAGGAAAAAAAGCCTCTGCCGATCAGGCAACTCAGTTGGGATTGTCAGAGGCTTTAAAAAAAAAAAAAAAGAAAGCCTCTGCCGATCAGGCAAGTCAGCTGGGATCCACGGAGGCTTTTAAAAGCATTTTTTACAAGCTCTTCAGCTGAAGAGGTTGTAGGAAAAAAAGGTTTTAAAAGTAAAAAAAAAAAACAAGTTGGCCATGCCCACTTAGTCATATTACACCCCCCCCCACCAAGCCATGCCCGCAGAACCGGTAGTAACAAATTTTACATTTCACGACTGTGCAGGAGGCCGAGTAGGCCACGCCCCCATGGTCACGCCCCCCCACCCCAGAAACCGGGCAGAGAACTGGTTGCTAACATTTTTCAATCCCACCCCTGCCGACCGGCCACAACAAAATCACTTCCCTTTGGATAAATGTAACGAAATAAAACCTTTTATTTTATTTTTATTATTCGAATTTCTATACCGCCCTTCTCCTTTCGGACTCAGGGCGGTGAACAGCCAATATAAAAACATTTATACATAAAGACAATTAAAAATAGATTTAAAATAATTAAATTTGGCCCATAGTTTAAAATTTATCAATTTAAAATCCATATCAAAATTTAAAACCAACCATAAAATCATAAAAGCAAGAGAGACCGGCTAACTGAAAGAGATGAGTTTTTAGGGCCCGACGAAAGGTCCGGAAGTCGGAGATCACTCGTATCTCTGGGGGTAGATTGTTCCAAAGGGACAAGGGAAATCCTTGCTAAAAGGCCCCTGATGTCCTCATTCTGTCAAGGACCTTGGAGTACTCATTTCTAAAGATGTAAGTGCCCGAGCCCACTGTAACAACATTGCCAAAAAGGCATGAAGAATTGTTAACCTAATCTTGTGTAGCTTTTTCTCTGGTAATGTTATATTACTAACTAGAGCATGCAAAACCTTTGCTAGACCAATTCTTGAATACAGCTCATCTGTCTGGAACCCGCACTGCATATCGGACATAAATAAAATCGAGAGAATCCAGAGATATTTTACGAGAAGAGTCCTCCATTCCTCTACCCGCAATAAAATACCTTATGCCACCAGACTCCAAATTTTGGGCTTAAGACAACTTAGAACTACGCCGACTTCGGTCTGACCTAAGCGTAGTACATAAAATGATCTGCCACAATGTCCTTCCGGTCAATGACTACTTCAGCTTCAACCACAACAGCACACGAGCACACAATAGATACAAACTCAAGGTAAACCGCTCCAAACTCGATGGCGGAAAATACGACTTCCGCAACGGTGGTCAAGGCCTGGAATGCACTACCTGACTCTGTAGTTTCTTCCCTAAACCCCCAAAACTTTAACCTTAAACTGTTTACTGTTGACCTCACCCCATTCCTCTTAGGTGCACCAGCGTGCCTACCGTCCCTGTCCTAATATTCCTTTCTACTTACTCTTTTCATGTATTCCAATTACGTTTATACTTTTACCTGTTAGCTTAAATATGCTTGGCAAATATGATTATGATTTGCCGTTGAGTCTACTTGAAAGATGAATTAAAATCCAATTCATGAAAACATTCTGCCTTCAGCTGTTTGTATGTGCATATTTAATCTCTTCTTCCCCCCCCCCACTTCCTTCCTTATGTGGCCTCTCTAGAGATTTCCGTTGGCAGGTACCCGCTATAGCAAATGTGCTGTCATTGGCAACGGTGGTATCCTACAAGGTAGCAGGTGTGGACAAGAAATCGACCAGGCTGATTTGATCATCAGGTAGCTCTTTCTTTCTTTCTTTCTTTCTTTCTTTCTTTCTTTCTTTCTTTCTTTCTTTCTTTCTTCCTTTCTTTCTTCTTTCTTCCTTTCTTTCTTTGTGGTGGGTGGCGGGAGAGCTCAGGTTAAAAGGATGGGATCATAAGGAACTCTGGAAATCTTTATAGTCTTGGTTTATCGAAGGAACAGAGCTTTCTCATTTCCCCGTCTTTCTTCTCCTTCGTCTTCCTTTCCTCCTGCTTCCCCTTCTCTTTCTCTCTTCCTGTCCCCTCTTCCATTCCATTTCCTTCCTCTTTCCTTCTTTCATTTTCTTTTCCTTTCCTTCCCCACCCCCTCTCTCCCTCTGCCCTCTTTTCCTTCCCCTTCTTCTTCCCCTTCTTTGCCTCCTTTCCTCCATTCCACCGATCCCTTTCCCTCCCCTTCCGCTCCCTCTATGCTTCCTCTTTTCTTTTCTTTTTTCTTTTTCTTCTTCCCCATCCCTTTTTCCTTGCCCAGCCCCCTTTCCTCCTCCCTCTTTTCCTCCTTTCCTTCACCTTCCCTTTCTCCTTCACCTTCTCCTTCTTTTCCTTCTTCTTCTTCCCTCCCCCATCTTTCTCTTCTTTCCCTTTCTCCTTCTATTTCTCTTCCCTTCCTCTTCCCCTCCCCTCCCCTTCTTCCTAGTCTTTTCCCTTAACCTTCTCCTTCTATTTCTCTTTTCCTTCCTCTTCCTCCCTTCCCTTCCCCTCCTCCTCCTAGTCTTTTCCCTCTCCCTTCCCCTTCTCCTTCTATTTCTCTTCTCCTTCCTCTTCCCCTCCCCTCCCCTTCCTCCTCTTCCTAGTCTTTTCCCTTTTCCTTTCCCTTCCCCTTCTATTTCTCTTCTCCTTCCTCTTCCTCCCTTCCCTTCCCTTCCCTTCCTCTTCCTCCTCTTTTCCCTTCCCTTCCTCCTCCTCCTCTTTTCCCTTCCCCTTCCCCTTCTATTTCTCTTCTCCTTCTCCTCCCTCTTCCCCTCCCCTTCCTCCTCCTAATCTTTTTTCTTCCCCTTCTATTTCTCTTCTCCTCCCTCTTCCCCTCCTCCTCCTCTTTTCCCTTCCCTTCCTCCTCCTCCTCCTCTTTTCCCTTCCCCTTCCCCTTCTCTTTCTCTTCTCCTCCTCCTCCCTCTTCCCCTCCCCTTCCTCCTCCTAATCTTTTCTCTTCCCCTTCTATTTCTCTTCTCCTCCCTCTTCCCCTTCTCCTCCTCTTTTCCCTTCCCCTCCTCCTATTTCTCTCCTCCTCCCTCTTCCTCCCTTCCCCTCCTCCTTCTCCTCTTTTCCCTTCCCTTTCTCCTCCTCCTCCTTCCTTTCCCTATTGGACCTGGGGGCTTTAATTTCTAGTATTTTTGCAATTAAAACCATTGCTTATTTGGGAATCCAATGGGTATAAAACTCCCCCTCAGTATGATATAAAACAGGGTGTAAATGGGAGGCACATCCAAGGAAGAAGCTATTTCTTCAAGAGATGACAGAGAAATCTCCCACCGTTTGGTTTTAAACTGAACATGTTTGAAACAAGATCAAGAGTTAGCAAAAAAAGGAATTTTGGACGGTGAGATTCTGGCAACAGCACTCCCCATTTGAAGTTCTTACAAAAATACCCTTCCCTTTAAAAACCGAATCGAACCTACCCATTTCCCTTCTTTTGCAGTTTTAAATAACAGTACAGGTAGTCCTCAACTTATAACCATTCATTTAGTGACCGTTCGAAGTTGCAACAGCACTGAAAAAAGTGACCGATGACCATTTTTCACTCTTACGACCGTTGCAGCCTCCCCGTGGTCACGTGATTTACATTTGGATGCTTGACAACCGACTCACAGATACGACGGTTGCAGCGTCCTGGGGGTCATGCGCTCCCCTTTTGCGACCTTCTGACGAGCAAAGTCAATGGGGAAGCCGGATTCACTTAAGAATTGTGTGACTAATTTAACGCCTGAAGTGATTCGCTTAAGAAAACGTGGCAAGAAAAGTCGTAAAATGGAAAGGAAAACTCAACTTAACAAATCTCTCACTTGGCAACGTAAATGCTGGGTTCAATTGTGGTCGTAAGTCGAGGACTACCTGTAATCAGGGGTGGGATTCAGAAATTTTAGCAACCGGTTCTCTGCCCAGTTGCTGGTGGGCGTGGCTATGGTGGGCATGACCTACTCGGCCTCCTGCACCATGGGGGATGGGGCTTTCACCCTCCCCAGACTCCAGAGGCTTTCCTCTAGCCTGTGGTAGGGCAAAAATGGCTTCCCCCGGGCTCGGGAGGCTGGAAAGAGGCCCATTTTTGGACTTCCAGGACTTCCAATAGGCCCATTTTTCACCTTCCCCAGGCTCTGGAGGCTTTCCTTGAACCTCTGGGAGGGCAAAAACGGCTTCCCCTGGGCTCCAGAGGCCCTCCAGAGGCCAGAAATGGGCCTGTTTCTGGACTTCTGGAACTTCTGGTAGGCCCATTTTTTGCCCTCCCAGAACCTTCACGCGAGCCCTGCACTTACCTGGCATCCAAAACAGGCTGTGTGGAGACTCCTGGGAGAGGGGGAGTGGGGTGGGCGGGGTCAGCCAGTCCTTGCAACAGCCGGTTCGGCGAATTAGATTAAAATTAATATCCGGTTTTCCCGAACCGGCTGAATCCCACCCCTGCCTATAATGCACTCGCTTGAGTTTAATCTCTACGTCTCTTTTCCGTTCGCTCCCCCACCCAGGTTTAATCTGCCTCCGTTGAGGAAAACTGAAGACGTGGGAACCAAGACACACTTAGTGACCATCAACCCCAGTATTTTAAGCAATAGGTAAGGAAGATTACATAAATACAAACAATAATCCACTACGGTCTGTGAACAAAGAAGGCGGCCGCTCTAAGCTTCAAAGAAACACGCAGACTGTTGTTTTTTTCCATGCACGCCGATCCCTTTTGAAAAATGGCATTTTGCTGTTGTAGAAAGTTAGCACCTACCCCTCTCCTAGAAGAACGAAATATTCTAGGAAATATTAAAAAGGGAGAATATTGTATTTCCTTGGATGAGAAAAGGAGAAACAGGTTTTTAAAGACAAAGAGCATCTCCCTGCCCCCCAGCAGATATTTGGTGCCCATTGAGTAGGACTGGGCCAGCCTATCTACAAGTCAAAAGGCCTTCAGCTCCAGGGTGATGGGATTTAGACATGACCCTATAGGACATTATAGGATTATCTAGCAGCAGGGGCTCAGTGCATTACAAAATCACCTGGGGACGGTGCATCACCCAGCAAGCTTCAACCAAGCTTGACTCAGAAAACCTACTAGGTTTCTCCAAAAAGACAACCCACCCTGAATAGAAGCCCTATCATGTTTTTGAGCACAGGCGATCAAATTAAGCCCCACCCACAAAATTACCCCTAATTAAGATCCCGCCCACCCCGGAGTGCGGGATGGGGTGGGGCGAGGCACACAGGTAAAAAATAAGCTAGGGTGCAGATGGGGGGGTGGAGCTGTCCTACTTACCAGGCCTCGCATACCCCGACACCTGTCTTGCCTTTTTCTGCGACCGCTTCTCCTGCGGCCGCTTGCCACCACTTGCACGCATCGCCCCGGCCTCTGTTTTGCCTTCAGATGCCTGCTGGAAGGCATCTGCAGCCGATAACAGCTGTTATCAGCAGCAGATGCCTTCAGGCAGGCTTCTGAGGTCGAAACAGAGGCCGGGGCGATGCGTGTGAGTGGCAGCAAACAACGGCAGAAGAAGTGGGCCGGCAGCGGGGCCCTGCTGGGCAGGGCTGTCAGTGAGTCAATAATTAGAACCCTCCAAAAAGAAGGCCTAGCCGTTTCTTCAGGGGTCAAAAGATAATAAGACCCGGCCTTCTTTTTGGAGAAACATGGTACAAGGTTAGCAGTGACCCCTACAACAACCCATAGTGTTGAATATGCAAGTAGGAGTGAGTCTTACATCAGCCGTCACTCACTGAGAGGGGTGTTGAATATGCAAGTAGAAGTAAGTCTTACATCAGCCTTCACTCATTGGTTCATTTTCCCCGGTGGAAAGTGGCTGACAGGCTGGACAGCTCCTGGTAAAAGGAGCTGCAGCCTCTGGCAGCCCCCAGTTCGTAGTTATTTTGTTGTTGTTCCTGTTGCCTGAAATAAACAGTTGTTTTACTTCACTACGATCGCCCTGCCTCTCTGTATAGAATACATTCCTTGCACAGGAACAGGAAACTCAAGAGCAAGGCCCAAGAGAGGCTATAAATAACCCTCACTCTCCACTCCATGTGGTCAGCTGTCCAGGACCTCAAACCCATATGGCCCTGTTAATCAATAAACCTCTCTTTCCAATCAGCCTCCATGTTTCCAGTGTCTTTCTCCTCACTTGAAACTGAACCAGATGGATATTTCTTGCAACACTGGAAGTGTTGGAAGAAATATCCGGGTCCAGTTCCAAGCTGGGAGAAAGACACTGAGATAAAATGGAGGCTGATTGGAAAGAGTGGTTTATTGATAAAGCAGAACCACATGTGATTCTGGGCAGCTGACAAAATGGAGTTGAGAGCGGGTGGGTTTTTATACCTTCTTTGGGCTTTGTATTTGAGCTTCCTGTTCCTGTGCAAGAACATGTCCTTTAATATTCTATTGGCTGTTGTCAAATTCCAATGGGGTCAAGTAGAGGTCACAGCTGGCTCTATAGGCAAAAGAGGAAATGCAAATCCTAGGTGTTTGTCTGAGCTAATCTTGTCAGCCTTTTGTTTGTTGCTTATCTGGAGTATCTGTATGACCCAGTCTTTCTGAATGGTTGACCAAATCTGCATTTCTAAAAGCTGGCCTTCTCAGTTTCTGCTTGGGGGCAGGGAAACTGGGGCTGGTTTCTGTCTTTTAAGAGTATGTTTCTCCATTTCTCCTTTAGGGGAAATAAAATATCCCGCCTTTTTAATATTTCTCAAAACTTTTCATTCTTCTAGGATGGGGGTAGGGGTAGCTTTCCTACAGCTAAAATCAAAATGGGCACCTACCCCCGCAAATCTGTTTCATTCATAGATTCGTGAATTGTCAAGGGTGTGGTTTTCCTTTTTTTCCTCTTTTTTTTTTTTCTTCTTCCTCTTTCCTCTTTTTTTCTTTTGAAGATTCCAAGGCTTGGTGGGTCCTCCGACAGCTTTTATCGACGTTCTTCGGGCCTACCAAAACGCCCTTTTCCTCATTCCTGCGATATCCTTTGATTATCATCTTAAAATCGGCTACCGTGCTATAGAGATCCTGAAGAATTTTGGCCTGGCCCATAGGGGATTCTTCCTCCACCCTCACTACCTGGCTGCCCTCGATAAGTATTGGAAACAGAAAGGGATGACAGGAATGCGTCTTTCCACTGGCTTTATGTTCACCAGTTTTGCTCTGGAGTTCTGTGACCACATCACTCTCTATGGCTTCTGGCCCTTTTTATATGACCTAAGTGGGAAACCAATCAATCATCACTACTTCGACAACGTGTTGCCACTTCCTTTAGTTCACAAAATGTCCGAAGAGTTCTCCCATTATCTCAATATGTCTGCCCAGGGTGTTTTGCGCATACAGCTTGGCATATGCCAGTGAGGTTCGGATGGGTAAGACGGTCCCTTAACCCAGGAATAAATCGCCCAAAGAAAAAAAAACAATCAGTTTGCGGTTCCCAGCAAAGCAACATGGAATTTGTACCGGTGAGGAACAGGATCCTTCACAAAATACAAGATTTTCCCCGCACATTCTTTTCTAGCAATCACAACAGCTCTTTGTATTCCTACTCATCGAATGATCGGAAATAGCAGCCTTCTCACAATGAGAGACAAAATAAGAGGAACGTTCAATTGTTAGAATTGTAAACAAACAAATAAATAAAAGGAAGCTGTTTTACAAGTAACTGGCCGAAACGGAGTCCTTTTTCAAAAGTTCCTAGTTGGGAAACCAAGAGGGTTTTTACGGAGGAGATGTCAGTTATAGGAATGTGTGGGTGGTTGATTATCGCAAGCAGGATTAATTTGTTGGCGTATCCTCGAGTTCCCCCAACATGGCTGCCCTCGAAGAGTATCCGGAAGCTTCAGCTGGTCCAAAAGGCAGCAGCCCGTGCAGTTCTGTGAACGGGCCAGATTTGCAGATAAGATGGGATGGGAAGGGAAGGGAAGGGGAGGGAGAGACGGGAAGAAGGGAAGAGAAGAAAGAAAAGGGAAGAGAAGAGAAGGGAAAGGAAAGGAAGGAAGAAGAGAAGAAAACTTATTGTTGCCTTTTTTTTTGTTTTCTGTGAAAACGGGCACACATTTAAAAAATTAAATTCTGATGCCTGCTCTTAAAAGAATCTGTCTGTCTGTCTGTCTGTCTGTCTCCTATCTACCTACAACCGGTTCGGGGATTGTGTGCTGCGTGCACACAGTTTTAAAAATACTAACCTTCTGTGTTACCACTTGGGAGTAACAGCTGAAGCACAGCTGTGCCACGCCAATCAGTTGAGGAAGATAAAGGTAAGTAAAGCGCAGGGATGGCGGGGCGGGGCAGGGTGGACCGACCCGGAGGGAACCGGTTCGCTCCCAGCTGATCGTTGGAGCTACTCGCCCAAACCAGTCTGAACCGGTAGAATCCCACCATCTCTCTCTCTCCCTCCCTCCCTCCCCCCCCCCTCTCTCTCTCTCTCTCTATATATATATAAAATATATATTTTGCTATAAATATATATTTGGTATAAAAATGGTTTGTCGTGATTGCGACTGATTGAGGGCTCCTGGATTGGAGCTGAAAAGCAAAAGGGAGCAGAATGCCCTCTCCCACATGTTGGGGTAGACCAGGTGTCTCGGTAAACACTATATATATAGGCCTGAAAGTGATGATTGGAGAGATCATCCCACTATGGCCATTTAACAACTTTATCTACATAGGAAAAAAACCCTGAATACAAAAATATCATACATTTGAGCCTATGAATTAAAAAGAATAAATATTTGACCTTTACAGGGAGGAGTCATAAAATATGGGTGTGGCTGGCCGATGAGGTCCAAAAAGACCGAAATAGTGCTATCCCAGTCTCCCATAAGTCTCAGAATAAACAACACAAAATGTCGGACAGGCCTGAAAGTGATGATTGGAGAGATCATCCCACTATGGCCATTTAACAACTTTATCTACATAGGAAAAAACCCTGAATACAAATATATATATATATATATATATAAATGTTTTCTGAGGTTTTCGCGGGTGTTTGTATGTAGGTCTTTGGTTATTCGGGTTTTCTCCCACGTAAACCCGAATAACCAAAGACCTACATACAAATACCCGCAAAAAACCTCAGAATACATACATACATACATACATACATACATATATATATATATATATATATATACATACATACATACATACATATACATATATACATATATACATATACATATATGTATTTCTCTTTAGCCAGGTTCTACCTATGTAAACCAAGATATTATGCAGCCCTAGTTCAGTGAAATCACAATTCACTAGTTTCTGGGCTTTTTTTCTTCTGGCAGCCAGCAGACCCTTTGCTGCCCATTGGGAGACTAAAATAGATCTATTTCGGCCTTATAATCTATCTTAATCTCCCAATGGGCATGTGTGAGTAGGGCGACCATGTAAATCTATTTAATAAATAATAAATAAATAAATGGGGCCCACAAACACTTTATCAGAGTTTTGTTGCAAAAATCAAATTTCATATTTAAATGTCTCCGGTACTTGGTGTAGACTAGTGTTTCCCAACTTTCAAATATTGGGAACTTCAACTCCCAGAATTTTCAGCAATGGCCTTTTTGACTGGGGAATTCTGGGTAAAAGGCCACAAATCAGGTACTTGCAGAACCTGGTCTGGAACTGAAATGGGTTGTATTGTTTACGTGATTATGGGTAGAAGGATGAGGATGTGACTTTTAAGTACAGCAGTCATATTTTAGGGCTCTTCCAGAGCCCAGCCGGTTCGGAACGGTTCACCTGAACCGGTAGCAGAAATCATGGGTGGGCCAACCCTCACCCCGGCTCTATGCCATCCTATTTAGGCACATTTTTGAGGCTGGGTGAATGCGTGGAAGGCTGGCGCATGTGCAAACCGGGCATTCGCACGGTGAACCGGCAGTAACAGAAAGTACTTTCCACACAGAAAGTACATTGCAACATGTTTACAGGTAGAACTTGATATATGTCCCAAATCTCTGTTGCTAAATGAGACAGTTGTTAAGTGAGCTTTGCCCCATTTTGAGATCTTTTCTTGCCACAGTTGTTAAGTGAATCACTGGAGTTGTTAAGTGAGTACTACATTTGCTAAGCGAATCTGGCTCCCCCATTGATTTTGCCTGTCAAAAGGTCGCAAAACATGGCACCCAAATCACATGACCCTGGCACATTGCAACGGTCATAAATATCAGCCAGTTGCCAAACTTCCGAATTTCGTTCACTTGATCATGGGGATGCTGCAATGGTCTTAAATGTGAGAAAGAGTCATAAATCATTTTTTTCAGTGCCAATTTTAAAGACGTGTCTAGACCAGAGGTGGGTTTCAGCAGGTTCTGACCAGTTCTGGAGAACTGGAAGCGGAAATTTTGAGTAGTTCGGAGAACCAGTAGTAAAAATTCTGACTGGCCCCGCCCCCATCTATTCTCTGCCTCCCGAGTCCCAGCTGATCGGGAGGAAATGGGGATTTTGCAGTAACCTTCCCCTGAATTGGGGAGGGAATGGAGATTTTACAGTATCCTTCCCCTGCCATGTCCACCAAGCCACGCCCACCAAGCCACGCCCACAAGCCCACAGAACCAGTAATAAAAATTATGACTGGCCCCGCCGCCATCTGTTCTCTGCCTCCCGAGTCCCAGCTGATCGGGAGGAAATGGGGATTTTGCAGTAATCTTCTCCTGCCACGCCCACCAAGCCACGCCCACAGAACCGGTGGTAAAAAAAATTGAAACCCACCACTGGTCTAGACCACACCTAGAATTCTGCATCCAGTTTTGGTCACCGCACTATAAAAAAAAGATGTTGAGACTCTAGAAAGTGCAGAGAAGAGCAACCAGGATGATGAGTGGACTGGAGGCTAAAACATAGGAAGAACGGTTGCAGGAACTGGGCACGGCTAGTCTAGTGAAGAGAAGGACCAGGGAGACATGATAGCATCCTTCCAATATTTGAGGGGTTATCAAAAAGAGGAAGGGGGTCATGCTATTTTCCAAAGCACCCGAAGGCCAGACAAGGAATAATGGATGGAAACTGAACAAGGAGAGATTTAATCTAGAAATAAGGAGAATTTTTCTGACCATGAGAGCAATCAACCAATGGAACAGAAGTTGCCTTCAGAAGTTGTGGGAGCTTCATCACTGGAAGATTTCAAGAAGAGATTGGACTGCCATTTGTCAGAAATGGTGTAGGGTCTCCTGCTTGGGCAGGGGGTTTGACTAGATGACCTACCCTTCCAACTCTGTTAACCTGTATAAAAAGGTCCCTCACAACATGGCTGCCTTGATAGATGTTGACCTTCAGAAAATGTCTTGATCAGAACACAATTTTTTTTCTTAAATTCTTCTCTGCCATGTCTTCTACGATGGACATTTTTTTTCTTTTTTCCTGAGTAGATCGGTACTTTCCAAACAAAGTTGAGACTATTTGCTATTTTTTTTTTTACTTTTCGAAAAAGTTTCTCCGATCTCTATGGGCCAAGGGGCACCCTGGGAAATCAAGAGGATGCTAAATTACACTTTGCTTTTGCAACGAACTAATTTCACCTTCGCCCGCTTTCCCTGAGGGCCTGTTGGCTAATTGGTATTATCGAGCCAATTATGCCAACTCAGACTGATATTTTGGGGGCCTGGCTGGCGCGCGGAAGTTAAATCTCAAGTTGGCAAAGTTACTTTGAAGTTACAACAGCCCCCTAGTGTATTCGCTTTGGCGGCTCCGCGATGCCTGTTCGGTTAATAATATGCTTCTGTGAAAAAAACAGATTCTAGCAAATTCTCCAGGGCTAAACTATCTCTAAAGTTTATCCAACTTAGAGCAAAAAGAAACTAAAGTGTTTTTCCCACTTACTTTTACAGAGAGGTAGGCCACACTTGCCATTCGTATACAACTTTCTACTCTTGGTATTCATAGTTTGTTCCTGTTAAAAAGGAAAAAAAAAAATAGCTGTAGTATTTTTATATCCTAATCGGGGCTTTGCAAACAGATAGCAGCTTGCTTTATTTTTTTTATTTTTTTAAAGCGATAAAATAATCAGCACACAAACCCACAATTTCAACCACACAGCACAGAGAAAGAAATCCGTTCAGGGTTAATTCTGTTAAGCCATCCGGAGTATCCTTGCAGCAAGACGGGGGGGCAAGCAAATTTAATAAATAGATAATAAATAAATAAAATAAATAACGGGGGGGGTGTGTTTGAGAATGAAATTACTCATTGCCAACTTGAGGTTTTTTTTAAAAAAAAAACCCGACTTCAGCAAACAGAGTTTGTTTTTGTTTTTAAATTCAGAAATGAAGGAATTATTTTGCAATTATGGAAAAGTACTAGAAGCATCCGCAAACCCCTGCCTTTTCGCCTTGTCCCTCCCCCCACCCACTTCTCCTTGTCTACAAGGAAGATATTGTTCTCCAGGCCAAACCATGTTAATACCTGCTTCAAATCTATGATTGTCAGGTTTTCCCATCTTGGCTCACTGCAATCACAAAGTTCAAAGACCTAGGATTAGGGGTGAAATGCTCCCGGTTCAGACCGGATCGCCTGATCCCGGTAGCGATGGCAGCGGGTAGTTCAGAGAACCGGCAGCAAAAATCCCTGCGCGCCCCCCCCCATGCCCAGCTGAGCCGCACGATCATCAGAGGCTTTTTTTTTTTTTTTACTTTTAAAAGTATTTTTCGTCGGAAGAGG